TTATTTTGATATATCACAGTGAAAGATTTATCGTCCTCTTTTTTTTTTTTTTTTTTTTTTTTTTTAAAAAAAAAAAAAAAAAAAAAAAAAAAAAAAAAAAACACCAAAAAAACACAAAGATTGCACAAAGAAACGAACAGGGTGGTCTCAGAATATGAAATACAAATGGCTGAGAAATATTTTTTAAAAATTTTAAGGTCTTTAATCATCAGATAAATGCAAATTAAAACCACAATGGGAATTCATCTTACCTCAGTCAGAATGACTAAAATCCAAACAAGAAACAATCACAAATGCTGATGAAGATCTGGGGGAAAAGGAATATTTATTAACTGCTGATGGGTATGCAAACTGGTACAGTCATTATGAAAATTGGTGCAGAGATTTTTCAAAACTCTAGAAATAGATCTGTACATGATCCATCCATATGACTCTTGGGCATATGCCCAAAGAACTCTGTATCCTAATATAGAGATACCTGTTCATCTATGTTCATTGCTTCCCTAGTCACAATATTCAAGAAATGAAAATAATCTAGATTTCCATCAACAAATGAATGGACAATGAAAGTATTGTACCTTAATACAGTGGACTATTATTCAGCTGTTAATAAAAATGCAATTGTGAAATTTGTACATAAATGGATGGAACTGGAAACAGTCATCCCAAGTGAGGTAACTCAGTCCCAGAAAGACATATATTGCATACTCCATCCCATAAGTGGATGCTAGCTTTGAATCTTTAGATATGCATGATTCAATTGAAAAAATCCTTAGAGGTCAGGATATTAGTAAATGGCCATGGTGGGGAGAATTCACGGAAGAGGAAATAGAATGCAGCAAAAGAGTCCTAATAAATGACAGAATTGAGACCAGAGGACTTTCTCCTCCTCTAGCCCTTAGCTATATTTTGTTTCATATCTGTCTTATCCCTGTGAAGACTGATGTCACAATAGAGAGACTAAAGGACACATAACCCCCAGTGAAACCTCTGTTCCTCTCTTTCTCTTTCTTCCTCTCTCTTCTCTCTCTCTTCATTAAATTCTAAATCTGAAGTCTACAACTATTTTACAACTAGGAGTAACCAAAAATCTTATGCTGTAAATCAAGATGTCATAATAAGTCCCAAAATCTTAATCATTGGGAGAACCTTGAAACCCTTTGGTCAGATTCCATTGAAATGGCAGAAAGCAGCAGATGTGTCCAAGGAAACTTACATATTGATTTTTGGGGGGTGTCTTCTTAGCCATGTGGTGAAGATCCTGCAGGGGCATTAACATACATTGCTTACTAATCATATTATAGATTGACCTAAATTCATTGGCCAGCATCCAAAGGAAGAAACCTTGAGTGTTGCAAGGGCTGCATATCACCCTGTAATGTTGGTCTCTGACTCAGGTGTGAAGAAGAGAAAAACTTAACAGGGAAAAACTTTACTCTGACTTGCCCCAGCAGAATCAGGAGCTATGGCCCTGACATTCATTACCTATAAGTGTAGTTTGATTATGTGATCCAAGCTTTCCCTTCTCATAGAAACTTCTAGATTTATTATTTACTCTAGTCCTGGTTAGGTTCTATTGTCCACTTGACACAATATAAAGTTGCCTGGAAAGAGAGAACCTCTGATGAATAGTCTCAATCATACTGACCTATGCCCATGTCTGTGAGAGATTGTCCTGACTGATGATTGTTGTGAGAGGGCCCAGCCCATTGTGGACCACAACATTCACAGTCAGGTGAGCATGGACTATAAAAGAAATCGAGCTGATCATGAGCCTGTGAGCAAATTTGTACAGTGTTCCTCCGTGGTTTCTGCTTCAGATCAGTGATGGACTGTGATTTGGAAATGTAAGCTGAATAAACCCTTTCCTCCCCAAGTTACTTCTGTTCAAAGTGTTTTATCACAGCAACAGAAATCAAACTACAACCGTTTCTAATTATTTTGCATACCTTACCAATATTTCCTTGTTTACTTTAATCTTTCAGTGCAAATTGATACACATCTACCAAACACAAGAAAATGAACAACTACTTTATTGATAGGATATATAAAACTGAATAAAATACAACTCTTTGACCTGTGTGAATTTATAATATATTCAGCATGAAATACATACATATGTATAATGAAAGATATTAATGGCCCTCCAACTCCCAAGCCCCAATTCTCAGTTCCTTATTTTTATTTTTTTTTAGTAATACTTTTTTAGTTTTTTTTTAAATTTTATGTGTATGAGTATATTACCTGCATGTGTGTAAATGCACCTGTGTTGCACAATGCCCATGGAGGTCAGAAGAGGGCACTGAGTTCCCTGGAACTAGAGTCATGGAAGGTTGTTAGCCACTTGTGTGTGCTGGGAATTGAGCCCAGGTCATCTGCAAGAGCTGTCAGTACTCTTAATCACTGAGCCATCTCTCCAGCTCCATCAGTCCCTTATCTTTAACCGTGATGCTGCCAAATGCCAAGGCTCCTCTTTAACCTGCCCCTCCCACACTGATTTTACCACAGATTGGTTTGGACAGATGACAGTTTTTGCAGTTTCCACCTTTCATGCCACCGTAGAACATATTCCTCAAACACTAATGTGCATGCCAATCGTCATGCTAAAATGCAAATTGATTCACAAGTTCACAGTACTGTGTAAAAGTTTGCAATTTTAACAGCTCTCTGGGTGATGGAGCTGTTGCTAGTCAGTAGACCACACTTCAAATAGCAAAGAATAGACTCAGACAAACTTAGACATATTCTACAGTGCTTAATGCAAAGCATAATGAGGGGTAAAATAAGAGGCTGCATGCTTCCAGAATCTTTCATGCTTCTTCCTGACACAGATGAAGACATTTCCTAGCTTTTCCTTAAAAGATTATTGCAATTCTTGGTCTTCATTCTTATGCATGCAGGTAGTTGTCATTAACCATCTTTTAAAAAGGCAATAAAGGATTCATATAGTTTCTGTGGAACACAAAGCCCTGTCCTCCAAAGAGGAAAAGCGATAGGGCTGATGGATCAAGGCTAACTGGAAGACTATGAAGTGAATGGAACAGTCTCCTTTTTGGATGAAATACTGTCCTGCCTCTAAGACAGCTTATTATAGAAAAAAAAAATGTAACTTCTACGTTGTTCCTATCACTTAGGCTTCAGGCCCAATTTTTCTAAGACGTTTACTCTAATCTGCCAAGTTTTTGTACAGTGTACAATGAGATTCATCAAGGGTAGTACAAGTAAGAACGCACCTGCCATCAGAATCATAGCTATGGTGGACCTATGCTTAGCAAAGCAATGCATGGTAGCCAAGGTGATGATGGGCACATAGAAGATAAGCACAGCACAGATGTGGGAGACACAGATGTTGAAAGCTTTGAGTTGCTCCCCATAGGATGCGATACCCAACACAGTTTTCAGAATGAACACGTACGAGACATGTAAAGACACTGACACCATGCAGAGTGCAACAAACAACCCAGAGTAAAAGTTAACCCTGTTGTCAGAGCAGGCCCAGTGTCTAAGTCTCTTTAAAGTAAAATGAGGAAGGAGCACTGGGAGAATGCTTTTAACAGCAGATGCTAGCCCAATTTGCGCAACTCTGGAGCTGGTAAGGATGGGTCTGTATCTCAGGGAGTGGCGAACCGTTACAAAAAGATCAAAAGACATAATTAAGAACACCAAGGACTCCATATCTGTGAATCCATGGATGAAGAATTCCTGGGCAGTGCAGGTATCAGCAGAAATACCCATGGCATTTAACATGAATATTTGCAGTATAGTGGGGATGGAGAAGAAGGACGGGCCCAGGTCAGACAGGGCCAGAATAGAAAGGAAATAATACATGGGCTCATGCAGGGAAGGCTCTGTTCTGATGACACAGAGGATGGTGCAGTTGCCCAGGAGGGCTCTGATGTACATGAGGCAGATGGGTATGAAGATCAAAATACGCACATGCTAAAGGCTGGGGATCCCAATCAGTAGGAAAGAGAAGACATCAACCTCTGATGTATTGAGAAGCATCACAAATACGTCTCTTGTTCAGCTGCTCTAGGACCTAATAACAGAGACAAAAATTATCTTTTAGTTGTAGTAACTGAACACAATGTGGGTTAAGATGAATATAGCTCAAAACTATTACATGAAAAGTATAACTTTTCTTTTTAAATGAAAATTATGAAATGCATTTAATATCTTCACAGTATTTATTTAAGACCTTTATATTATTCAAATATGTATTTATTTTAAGATATACTTATGAGCAAGTCTATAGCTAGGAGCTTCCAAAGTGTTTTAGCACCTCCATTTTTCAAAACCATATATTCTTTGTGTGTGTATGTGTACACAGGCACATTTTTGTGTATGAGTGTATACAGGTACACATATATACATGTGTGTATATAAGTGCAATCATGTGGAGGCCAGAGGTCAACATCAGCTGTCTTTCTCAATCGTCTCTATGTTATTTTTTGAGACAAAGTCTCTCACTGAACTTGGAGCTCTCCATTTTGGACAGACTAACCTGCCAGTGAGTACCAGGAAACCTCCGTTTTCTTCTTCCTCAGTGCTGGGATCACAGGCACATGAAGCTAAGCCTAGCTTTTCTATGTGGGTTCTGGGGATTAAACCTATGTCTTCATACTTTCACAGTGAAACACATCATTAATTGATTGAACTGAACCATCTTCCTCTGAAACTACATTTTTAAGATTTATAAATTAAGTGAATTACATGTAATATTTTGCAACATGGAAGTGCTATAATACTGTAATTGAATTGGACATAATGTTATAGAAAAAATCAGAGAACAGTAGCCAAAGTCAGGTAAGGAGTGGAGTGGGACTGACACACAGATCATTCCTTAAAGGAGTCAGCACCCCCAGCTCAAGATTTTGTGATCTTTATACTCATATGTGAGGAAATGCAAGCAAAATGCAAAACAGCGCATACGTGATAATTAAGTAAGGTAACCTGCAAAGGTTATAGGAATGTGAAAGCCTTCCTGCTCCGAAGTTCTTAATTACCATCACATTGCAAGAGCTTTCAGCAACCATCTGATGTGCTTTTCCACTTCCTTTGTATTCCCTCCTCTTGATCAACATAACCCCTTATGTTATTCAGGACGTACTCTGTGATAGTCTTGATGAATCACCTGGAGTCGGATGGCCTCTATTTGTTTTTTGATAAATTTAGTAAGTTTATTATTCAAAATCTTAACTATGATTATTGGTCCTGTTAGTAAGGCTAGCCAGAGGCCCCAAGTACTCCAGGTATTCTTTCACTCCATGGTTTACACAATACAGGTGTATATAAAAGAAAAAAAATTTAAGTCAACAGTAATTCATAAGTGTGTGTGTGTGTGTGTGTGTGTGTGTGTGTGTGTGTGAATCTCATCTCAAAAAATGGCTGTGCTGAATGGAGTCATACACATTGATGTTAGATATAAGGGCTTTCACTTGAAGAAAGCATTTTCAGAAATGTCATTTATTTTCTAATATGGTAAATATTGGGTTTCAAACTTAACAGGTGATGGATAACAGAATTATGCATTTCATTTGTTCTCAAAGCTAACTATAACCAAAAGTTATAATTAAAGCAAGCTAATGTCTAAAAGTTTTAACTAAAGACAATGTCATTAAAGGAGAGGGCAAAGAATGGGATGGCAAGAAGTATTTGGTCTTTATAAAGCAATACAAAATCAATCCATTATTAAAGACCATTTAAGATTGACAATATCAAAAGCATAAAGTAGAGTATAAGAAACTAGTTTCATGAGTATGATTTAACTACAGTTGTTTACAATTAACTCTCTCCCACATTAGTAAGCAGGAGCTTAGAAAGAATGAGAGACTCAGGGTTCAGGGACCGTTGTTGAAGAAGGAGCAGAAAGATTTCAAGAGCCAGGGAGCATGACCATATAGAAATAAAATCCTACAGGCTCCTAGGACTCTTCTCAAAGGAACCTACAGCAATGCTGTCAGCATGCACAAGAGCCATGCAAACTCAAGCAGATAAAAATCCAACACAGAACTGTGGAAATGGAAAGCAGGGCCAATTCTTAATTGAAGAATTATTAGCAACTGATTACTGTGGGTGAGGAAGAGCTGATCTTAAAGAGAGGCACTCTAGATGGGCTGGCTAGACCTCAGTGGATGAACTTGCACTGAGGGACATCTGGGGACACTAACTTGGCCTGATAGTCCTTAACACAAATGATAGAATATATGAATTCAAGTGGGAGGCTATGGAGGGTGTCAGCGGGAAAGTGGGTATAAAGATAAGATGTTCTGTATGAAATATGCAAAAATTCAATAATTTTTTTAAAATCATCCAGGGTACACATGAGACAGATGGGGACTGGGATCCCCAGACATGGAAAAGCATGAATCAATCTCACTCTAGAAATCCATCAACATGGAGCAATTGTGGCATGATGATTGCCACCATCAGGATCTAAAACTGCATCTCTGGATATAAGACTTAGAGACTCTAGGAGGATTAGGCATCCCTCCATAGAGCGCTCAGAATTTTTGCTTTTGCTTTAAAAATAGGGAAAGAAGCATCAAGTTCCCCATTGTCTTGCTTCCTGTGCAATTGGAGCAAGATAGATCCCCAAGACTAAAAAATTACTCTGAAGCTGTCATGGCTTTCTCCTCAAACACTGGGTAAAACTAGACCCTCAAAACCTCTAACAAGAGAGTCTGATCTTTTTCTGCCAAGAAGCTTCACCTCAATACCCCCTGGGGGACAATGAAAAATGCCCACCCTAGGGGAACCTTAATTACTCTATAAAGAAGAAAGGCCCTTTTTGTAAGCAAAGGAACTTGTGGAGTTTTTCAGATTGTCTGCCTCCATTATAGATACAAGCTAATTGATTATTGATATAAGCTTTCAAGAACTTGACCATCCCAAATCTAGCCAAAGAGGATCTCAAGTTAAACATTAGAAAATACTTCTATCAGCTTGATCCTGCTTGATTACAAATGCAGACTGCCATGCACCCATAACCTCATAAAATTCAAAGACTGTTCAAATTCCTTTTATTTTTTGTATCTAATAACACTGTAAAGAAAAAGGAAGTGGGGGGGCACAAGCACCCAGCACTCGGGGTCAGAGGGGCCAGCAAGTCCAGTCGGTGGGGCTGCTGGTGTGTGACAGCAGCAGCTCAGACCCAGGGCAGCCTTTTGCTTCCTATGAGGAAGAAGGGAGGGGGAAAGGCTGTAAAGGAAACAAACACAAAATCACATACTGCCCAGCATCTAAGAACGTGCACTGTAGAGGACAGCTGAATTAATTATCAGAGATGTCTATAGGTTGCTCAGTGTATGCACAAAAGTGCATAGTAATTTTATAAAATAAAATAAACATAATGAAGTTTAGAACACACTGCAGTTGTCACATTTTGTCTGTTCTCTTGGAGGCAAGAGACTGGCTCAGCCCATCTTGGGGATCAGTTCTTATGTCTGACCCAAGCACCGGAGTATGGATGAGTCTGGGAATGTTAAAGGGGCTTCTAGACAGAGAAACAGAAGCACAGCTGTCATGTGGCCATCTCCAGGAACCTGGGGGAGCTCTCCAAAGTTTCAGAGACCTCCATTCAAGCCAAACCATGACTCTTGGTTTCAATTGCTGTTGGGAATTTTAGGAATAGCTAGTATAAAGGGAGTCCAATGATGATTTACGCATAAGAGTTAGAGCAAAAGAGTTGATCCAGGGGTGAAAAGTGAAGAGCTTCCCCAGAAGGAACAACCCCCCTCCTCCAAACAGGCCACATATGCTGCACACAGAGCCCCATCGCAGGAAACAGAGGACAAAGGACAAGGCCAGAAAGATGAGACAGGAAGACCAGTCCCCAAATTCATCCCCAGCTCTGAAGATGAGTTAACATATTAAATCAAACCTATAACCAGCTGGAGTTCGTTTTTTCCAAACCATTTTTCAGGACTTTAGAGGTCTGAAAGCAACACAAACCAGACTGAATGTCAAAACCAAAATACTTTCAAAACAAGCAAACAAAAGAGATACCTTAAAGCAAACACTTTGAAAGCAAACCCAAACCAAAGTTATTTAACAAATAAGATCCTTAAACAACCAGCTCAGATACTGTTTTTTATAAACAAGTAGCACTGAAAAGTTTTGTGAAATACTTAATAGACCTAGAGATATTGTCAAATAAATAAATAAATTTAAAGATGTTTAGGGTACCCAAGTTTTTAAGGCCTTTGAATGCATCATTAAAAAAATCCCTATTTATAAATCTGCACATATACATTTTAACTGGCATGCCAAAATAAAACTAATAATCTTGCGCACAATAAAAGAATGAAAACCTTAAGTGGCCAGTTTGTTTTGATGGAAACAACATGTGAAGATAATTATTATAGATACACATGACAGAATTACTTGAGATCTCAACACATGAGAGAACTTATAGACATACATGACAGAAGAATTACATGAAATCTCAACACATGGGAAACAATTATCATAGACACATATGACATAATTAAATGAAAACTAGGTACAGCCAAAGAACAATAACCAAGGAGTTTAATTACTATTATCCTTTGCAAGTAAGCACTTATCTTTTAAATCTGGACAGGAGAACACTTTCTCCATAACCTCCATGTAGCTATGGGGCAGTTCTCCCTCCTTTCCTACATGAGGCCGGGTTTTAGGGTTCAAGTAGCTTCCATCCAGACACAAGGAATCTTCCCCAGCATGGCCTGATATCAAGCCACATGACTTCACAGAAAGTTTCAAATTTGGAGTGTTTTATCTTAATGCCATAATCTCTTGCATAGTCTAGTTTAAAGTTGTCCTTGGCCATTCTATTAAATTCCTGTTTTACCTCAGAATGACATTGAGATTTAGAGGTTTAATTGTGGTCCCCTTTCCTTCCTGACTGGAGGCCAGTACAAAGGTACAGGAATGTGATAGCCTTGGGAAACAAAGACGTCTATCCTGGGCAACCTGGAGGTTTGGGGCATGGACACACCTGTTCAACTCCTCCTTTCTATCTC